TTATCAGAAGTCTGAATCTATTTAATGCCATTTTTTGCATGAAAAATAAATGCACTGACATATAAATATGTATCTAAATTGCACCTAAATTTATAAGGTTTCTGTAAAATAAGTGTAAAGTCACATTAAACCGATTTCCATAGAAGGGGCAAGACTTCTATGGTAGAATGCTCAAAAAAATGAGAAAAAATAACACTTCAGATGTAATAAATAAAATTATACCTCAGCGTGTAGGCATTTCGATATGAATTTGCTTTTTGCTAATGTCCGTACATGCAATTGTATCCATAAATACACAAATCTAATATTTTACTTCAAGTTGCCACGTGTACATCTACTTACAAATTTTTGAGGTGTGTGTGGGTCTACTGAATTCGAATTAATTATGTATAGAATAAATGTATTTCAATCTATGTGCATATATTCACATATCCATAATTTAGTAGTACATGAATAATCAGTTCGTTAAATCTGAAGTTTTCATACATTAGATATCTAATTCACAATGAATATGCCAACCTTCAAAATACGTGAAGCCTTCTTCCATATCTACACAAATATATAAATATGTACAAATGTAAATATGTATTTTCATATATTTAGATACACACATACATATGTACAATTTCATTCAAAAAACGTACAAATTTAGACGCCCTGATCTTACGTATACATACGTAAGATCAACTGATATGATATGTAAAACACGGCAGATATGATATGTAAAATCAATAAACAAACATTGTTATTTCTACCTGAAAAAATAAAATGAATCCGCACAATTTATCAATTTTCTTAACCCATTATTGAAACCCAAGAAGTAAATTGACTACCCCCGTCACACAAAACTCTAGGACAAAAAGTGACGTAAACTTATCAAAGAAATTCACAGTTCCGATTTTAACTTTGAGTGGGGCACAAGACCGCCAAATTTTCTTATTCCCAGCCATTTGTCCCCACTCACGCACCACCTCCCGCGACATTTTGTACGGGGCTGCAAAAATGTGTAGCAATCCAATCACAATTATTCCGTCGATGGCCAAACTGGCGAAAACCAGTAGGGTCAAAATTCCAATTTTGTCATGGTAGTGAATCAGCACGAATAAGCTGTGAATAATGACGATGGTCCAGCCCAGGAGGAGAAACAGGATGAAAGGCGATTCCCAGCAGGAGTTGAAAACATTGAGAAAAATTTGAAGTCCGCGGTATCTCTGGTATTTGATTTTTAGACCGCGAAGATTTGAAATTTTTTCTCTTATTTCCCGTCCCAATACAGCCTTAAGTACCATAATGGGAACCATATAGCCGATTATATTTGTCAGGATGACGGCACAGCAGCCGCCCCACCAGAACCATCCTTCGACAAGGAAGATGCCGATTTTGACCAGGGTTGAAACATAGCTAGTTTCAAAATGAAGGGCGGGAAAGAGAGATGCTAAACCGAACTGGGGCATGACGATGCTCAAGACGGCCATAATTAAGGGTAGATTCGTCCTTGACGAGAATACCACGCCGAGAACGATTCTCACAATGGTTTCCACATGGGTAGGCGACCCACCTAGACAGTAAAAATTTCAAATCAAACATTTGATTAATGAAACATTTGCGCAAATGTTCAAATTTTGTTATGATAATTTATCACTGATAAGACGTATGCAAAGTCAAATTCAGATATTTACTTACCTGTTCTTCTAATCAAATCAGCTTCAATTTCAAACGTCTCCGTGATCATAGCCGATACGGCGGCAGTTTCTCCAGGCAACAAAAGTGTCGTGTCATACAGGAAAAAACAAAAGGTTAGCGTCGCCAGAAAAATTATTGTTTGATGTTCCCCCTCATCCCCCGATAAAGAAGTCATCGCAACATTTTCATATCCAGGGCTCCTAAAACCAAATGGCAAACAACAAGCTCAGTTATGTACACGTAAAAATAAATGGGGGTTCATTTCCACAATTTAGCGGGCACAAACCATAATGTTAGGGGGGTCTTTAATTTAATCCCTAAAAATAATGTTACCCTTTTGAAAAGTAAATGCACTCTGAATTCAATATTAAGTAAATATACTTAATCAAGAGGAATGTTAATTTGATAAAAAGTAAAGTCTTCCCTGGATCTTGTATAGGTTTAACTAACAACTTACTTAGAGTGCATTTACTTTTCGAAAGGGTAACATCATTTTTAAGAGTGTATTTTTTGTGCATTAAAAGTACCCCAAAATTCTCCAAAGAAAAAACCCCGTATAAACGACAATTAACGCGTATGACGCCCAGAACACGGCTTTGTCCACCTCCTTTCCTTTCAGAGTCGTAAGTCTGTCCTCCTTCCGGTCAAAATTAAAAGGCAATACCTTCATAAAGAGGGGGCACTCGGCAAAGAAGAACTTAAAACCTTGGGCATAACTCGTCGAGAAAAATGCCAGATTAAAATACTGCTTAAAATTTGGAAGTAAGATTTTCATTTGGGAAAAGTCTGGGGTTAAAGATTCCGAAAAGGTAGATTTCATGTCTATTTTTGCCAACAATGAAATCCAAACATTTGTATGAGTGAAGATTGACTAAAAAGGTACATAGAAATGTACGCATACTTTTTTTTTTACTTTGCAGGTCAATCCAATCAAGGGACAAATAATAAAAAATCATATCCGACACGGTAAATAAAACGTCAATTATAATGGATTTCGGGTATAAATGATTACCCGGGAGGTTGGATAAAGTCAAGTGAAGGATTTTTGCAAAATTGGCCAATTTTCTAAATTGCATGGGACATGTTTACTAATTTTTTATATACTTGTACTTCCAGGAAGAAGATAAAGCATTGTAAACTGTTATTTGTCAGTTGGTATTTTTTTTCATGGAAAAAATTTCCCAAGCTGGCAAATCACATACATTTGCATGTACCTATACATATGTATTTTTGAATGGGTATCAATTACGTACTTTAATTCAGCACATAAATATATACAGGGTGTTAATAAAGTCCGATCCCATTTTTCCTGTAAAAAAGTGAAGGCTAGTATAAAAAAAACTACCCGTGATACTTACAAAAAATGTTCGACATATTTACCTTAGTATTTGGTCTTGTTACCATTTACTTTAACCATGCCCTCAACTCTTTGTTTAAGGCTCTGTGCTAATTTTTCCAATGTGCCTCTGGAAATCGAATTCCATACATCTTGAACTTTTTTTTACTAGCTCTTCCCTCGTCCGGGGTTGTGGCTCTTTGTATACATTTTCCTTAAGTATGGACCACTGGTTCTTCAGGGGATTCAAATCTGGGCCGTTAGCGGCCCACACCCCCTTGCTCCAGACCGTTGAAACTTGCGTCTTGATGAGACTCAAACTCGCTTTTGCTGTATGGGCTATAGCACCATCCTGCATGAAAACTATTTTTCTTTCATTCGGAAATATTTCCTTGTTCCCCATGCTATCGAAATAGATAGGTAATATTTTTTCCATATAATGCTTTGCATTGACTGATTGGCCTTTTGGTATGATATGTAGAGGGGTCACGCAACGTGCACAAAATCCACCCGCTACCATAACTTTAAGCCCGAATTTTGGGATCGCTCTTGATGGTACATCCGATTTGTTTTCTGTCCTGTAACGAACATTTTGTTGGTTCAATTTTGGATATAGTTCAATAATAGATTCGTCAGTCCAAAGGATGTGACTGCGCAATTCTTCACCAAGTCTTTTTTCACTCAAATGGGCACTTTTCTGAAGGAGTTCTTCAAATTTCAGACGGTCATCGATATATTTTTGTGACATGAGAGGTTTTTTTGGTTAGTTTGTAAGCTGTGTGACCCCACTTCGTAGTTTTCACAAATTTTTGCACGGTCACACAGTTAATTTGGTTCTTCTTCTCTTTATAGCGTTTTGAGTCATTTAACTCCCTTGCTCAATTACGTAATGAACTACCGGTTTTCTTGCAAAGTCTGTTTTTAATCATTCTTTTTGTGGTAGGTGACAACTTTCTGGGTCGCCCTGGTCGCTTTTTGTCGTGGACAAAATTTTTATTCTTCCATTTCCAAACAGTTCTGCGGCTGCAGCCCAATTTTTGCACAATTTCTGTAGGTTTAAGCCCCTGCTGATGCAATGTTTGTATCTCAACTCTAAGATGCTCATGACTTACACGTTTAGTTGTTCCTCCCATGGTAAAAATTTGAAATAAATAACTTCACTGGTTCAAAAGTTCCAGCTGAATTTGTAACAACCACGCTCCAAAAAATGCATGGGATCGGACTTTATTAACACCCTTTACTAAGACGTATGTATGTATCTACATAGAATAGGAATTTCGTAAAATTTTAAAACTTCGGCCTTTTCTGAATTTGACAAACAATTTTAACAAATTGGGGCATATGCATGTATGCAGTTGTGTAATTTCCGAGCAAAAAACTTTACGTAATTTATTTGAAAAATTGCAAACAAGTACATAATCAAAAATTTAACTACACTGTGAGACATCTGTGAATGGTAACGCATGTATTGATTTGTCGGTGTTAAAGTTATGTATGTATGTACTACCGTTTGATATTAAAATTATGCTGGCGCATAAAAATTTGCTTATAATATACTAAAACTTTAAGGTGTTATTACATACACCGTACTACTTATCAATACCACTTTGGTAGTGTCCAATTTAGATGAATACTGTCTGGTATTATTTTAATATAATACTTTAACCATATGTGCAAATTTACATAACTATGTATGTGTGTAATGATAGACTGTCGTCACATAAAATTATTTGTGTGTATGATATTATATATGCAAATATATTGCGAATTATGCAAAATGTTTGATTTTCTAGTTATTCACATTCTGATTTAAGTCCAGTTGCAACTTTTTACTACTTTTCATGCCATGGAGGAACATAATTTGAGCATAAATTAACCCACATATCTTCCAAATTACCCTACATGCATGCAGCATGAATACAAAAATTGCTTCCACTTACCCAAAAATATATAAATGATGCAAAAAGTGGCAAAAAATGTGTACCCACGGCGGGACTCGAACCCGCAATCCCCTGCTTAGGAGGCAGATACGTTATCCATTACGCCACGCGGGCAGTTAGAATAACCTTGTCTCAAAGGAGACTCACATGGCTCACGGGCTCCTCCAGCAGTCCAGCAGTGCTACCGTTGGGGAAGTCGTGGGGACATTAACATTGTAGGATAGGGAAGGGCGGGGTTTGTATAACATGGGCGGATGATCGGGACATTGAATAACGAAATTGTCCCCACACGCTTCCGCGAAAATATGTGTGCAAGTTGCATATTTACATGTCTCAAAAATTTCATCAACAGTTTTTCCATGCTTTTAAGTAAAACAAAGGAGTTTTCTTGTATATTAATTTGCAAATTTGCATATGCATGTAAATATGTATTTAGTGAATAATACCATAGTTAATCATATAGTTCCCAGTATACACAATGTAGTACATTTTCAATACAGTGTATGTAAATAACTTCGCAAGTTATAATAAGTGGATGAAATTGTACTGGCATAAATTTAATGAATACAAATATTTTATGATTGTAATTACTCCGTTATAACAATCAGCTTTGTGTAAATACACATAAAGTCCAGGAAATGAGGCATAATTGCGTTAGGAATTTATTTATTCGTATTCCAAGAAGTGAACGGATCGAAAATTTCACGAATTTGTCCTGAAATCATGGCAAGAACGCTGCTCGTGCTGACAGTGACCACTCTGTTTCTCGTCTTAATAATGGGACACATCTCGACAAATGTACAAAATCTTTAAGATATTGAGGGTATTCATTATTTCCTCGTATCCTTCGTATCGTAAAATATGTAGTTTACGAAGAAAAAACAAGGGGTCAAGCTTGGTAAAAAATTTGCAATCTTGGTAACGCAATTTTTCCTGATAAGTATGTCCAATCTTATGACGCAAACATACAAAATCTCGTAACTTATTTTGCTATACGAAGAATACGGAAGAATCATGAATACCCTCATTTTTTACCAGAATTGTGAAGCAATTCTTGAAGTCTCTGGTAACTTGTAAAATCGGTGCGGTTTATACCGTAATTTTGAAAACTTTTACAAAATAAATCTGAGGAAGTTTACAAAAATTTAGAACCTAATTTTTCTTTCAAGTAATATTATTTGTAAAATTTTGTAAGTTTAAGGAATTTATTGATTTTGCAATGTTATCAAGGCCTGCGTGAATTACATCATCCTGAGTTCATTGCTAATACATTTTTTTCAGGCTGTTCCCGTACTCGGACCGTACCTCGAACCACTGACTATTTATGCAAATGGTAAGAATCCGGTTCAGAAGAGATCGACCGATATGCAAATTCAGCCAAAGATGTGCTGCGTATGTGTCAGAGCCCCATGTCCTTGTCAATGTGGTGGACATCCACGCATTCCTGCAAATGAGGAGTGAATATGGACACGCAAAATTTTTGCAAACTTGGAATTTTCGAGTCCCACTTTTTGATACTTTTTAGATTGTACTAATTTTACAAATTTTGAAGTCCAAGTTTGTAAAATTAGGCGGTTTTAAAAAATTAAAAAATGTGAAAATTTAAACAATTTGTTACAAATAAATTTGAAAAATTATGAGACATGTAAATCGTAAGAATACAAATAATTCCCAATTCTACGTTATCGATTTGCACTCAATTATGTATTTGCAATTTTGCAAATTATCCTTTTAACATTAACATTTTTTTGTTTAGCTCCACTTGCTAAGATTCATTGCAAAAACGAGATTAATAAATAAAATATCGTCCAATCTACTCGAGAAACACGTGACTCATCATTCCAGTCATAAATCCAGTGGGACAACTTTTTCAAGTACAAAAACGTGCAACTTTTTTTTGCAAACTTGCTTAGAATTTTCCATGGGTAAAACCAAACTGGACATTTGCATGAAATCGTACAACTCCCATTCTTGCCAATTTTTTGCAAACTATAAAACTGGATATTTGCATTACTCGAATTTGCATAAATATATTTATGTAGTGAAGTAAAGCGTCTGTAAATCTCTTCACTTATTTGTATCCACACAGACGATTAAGTTATAGCACATATCATTCAAGGAGAAAAAAATGTCACCCAGAAATTTTGGTTTTATTAAGATTTCCATAATCTTAACGATTTTCGTAACTTTACAATTTCGGGGAACTTGTGGCCTCGTCACGTTTGAGCAGGATGTGTCCCTCACAGAGTTGCAAGTCAAGGCGTTGGCAGAGGTAAAATTATATACATTTGCATGTACATACATATTTTTTTAATACACACACTCTTAACAATTGTTTTACCCTTTAAAAAATTAATTCAATCTCAATTCTAAATTAAGAAAACTATGTATCCTAATAAATCCAGAGTAACGTTAACTCGAAAGTTTAGCCTGATTTGGTACAGTTTACAAACATATTTTCGCATTTTGTATGCATTTATTTTTCAAATGGGTAACATTATTTTTAAGAGTGTGAAATGCTACATGTTGGAAAATTACCTAATTCAATTCACATCCGTCTTTTTATTCTTTCTGAGACAAAATGTATATAGATATGTATGTAACTTGGTGATTATTTCATAATTTTTTGTCAAGCTTATTATTAAAATTGTTAAGTTGGCATGGTCTCAACCGTTATCTTATAAGAATTAAATCCATACAAAACTAAACTCATTTCAATAATTCCATTCAGTTCAAGGAGAGAATGCTCCCTAAAATAAAGCAAGATTACATGAAAGAAGACATTTACCTGGTGAAATTCTTGCGATGTAAGTTTTACAAGAAATTGCGCGTATTAGTCTTCGAACACAAATATTAGTCTCAAAATTCATGTTTTTAATTGCATTAATTTTTAGCAAAGAAATTCGATGTTGAGAAAGCCGTCACAATGTTAAACACGGTAAATAAAATACACACATAATACGCAAATATTTGGCACACATTAATTTCTGCCTATTTAAATTTTAACAGTTTCTTGCTTGGAGAGAGTCCACCAATTTCGACAAGTTGACCAATGAAGACTTTACAGATTTAGCGACCGAGTACCCCTACGAAGTTTTGGGCGTGGATAACGAGGGCAAACCATGTATGCAAATTATTCACAGTATTATACTCACTTCTGCTTGAAAATATGTACACAAATTTTAAATTCGTAAAAACCAAATTCGTATACTATGTACCTTTTGCTTTAAATAATCCCAATTAGATTCTCAAAATGTTTAAATTCGCAAAAAATTGTTTCTAGTGCTACAATGGTACTACAGTGACTGGGACGTGCGGAAAGCTGCCGTAGGAGGAAACATGGAACGACTCAATGTCTACATTGCAAAAATGTTTGATAACGCATGGCTCAAAGTGAGAGATCTGCAAAAAGAGGGGAAAAATGTGACCAGATTCGTCATTGTCCTGGACATGGAGAAAATCAATTTGCTCCAACATTTGACCCCATCGTGTAAATATGCAAAAACAACTTATTTTTTCAGTTTTCGTAATATGGATTTACCCAATTTTTGCAATTTTTCATAAATAGGCATGCCAATCTACATCAACACTGTTTTAGCATACGATCGCTACTTTCCCAAACAGGGCGACGATGTTTATCTGATTAACAGTATGCAATTTTTATAAAATTCGCAAAGAATTTGCAAATTTATATAAGTACATATGCTCCGAATTTATCTTTCAGCCCCCGGACTTTTCGAGGTTGGTCTCAACCTCGCAAAATCCGTGATGGACCAAGACACAAAAAACTCGCTGCAAGTTTTCGGTCAAAATAAGCAACAGTGGATGACCGCCCTGTACAAAAATGTGGACCCGACCCAACTCACGCATCATTACGGGGGAACTATGCCATCAAAATTTGACTCATGAGATCATAAATATTTCAGATTTTTTAATCCAGGTGACACTATTTGCAAAACAGTTTTCTCAACTGATCATATGTAATTGACATCTATGTAACTAAATAAAGACAAATATTTACAAGTATTTTAAGGGTATTTATTATTCCTTCGAATTCTTAGCATCCTAAAATAAGTTACCACGGCTACCAGATTTTGATACCACACCCCAAATGACGATGAGCTGGATGGAAAAAGTATGGTCAAGATAGCGAATATATTGATGCAGAGGTCGATGCCGACAAATTTTCGGCGGCGCCAGTTTTTGGTGATTTTTCGGCGGCATCGGCGGCGCGGCGCGGCGTCGCAATGTTGAAGGTATAGGAAATTAAATTTTTCGTCGTCGGCGGCGTATGGTCGGCGGCGTCGACCTCTGTATTGATGTCTTCTCAACTCCTTTCCTTCCAAAAACCTTCCCTACATAAATTGACAAAAAAGCATTTGTGCCGCTTTAACGATAATGGATTTATTGCTTGGACACAGTTTGGTGACTCTTAACCTTTCGTAGGGGGTTTGATAATTCTGGGAAGAATTTTAACACCGAAGAAAAATCCACACGATGCGTAGAAATCTTTCTGCAAAAAAGGTCAATCCTTAGTGACCACAGATTCTGACCTGGGTGAGTGGGAAGTTTTTGATTTGGAAAATTGTGATTGTGAAGTTTGTTAGGTTAAAAAACAAGACGCATAAATATCTGCGTGACCTTAATTTCAACTTTCAGCCTTATCCTACGACAGCAACAATACGTACAAGGTGGTTAAACTGTTACGCTACAATGGAAAATTTGTCGATGGGAAAAATTCGTAAATTTCCATTAGTTATCGATATTTTTTCTCTGAAATTCAACATTTTAAGAATTTCGTCACCAACCCAGTAAGAAAATTTTGGATATTACTTAAATAATATGTTCGGGAAATCGTCCATAATATATGCTGGTTTCTGTAAGAGGATGGCAGACGTTCCAAAACAAAATACTCATCAAAAAATGTACCTTTCACGCACCTTTTATCCAAGTATTATTTACCGGAGTCAATTCCATAAAACGTACATATTATGTGCGTATTTTCCGGTCCATTTTATTTACATAAAATAATCGTTTCCGACCATGTATATTCGGTATTTATTAAAATTTTATGCAATAAAAATGGAAGGCAATTTTTTTTACTTTTACTTTTTATTATTTTTATTTTATAAACTTGAAGTTAAAGCATGGGAATACAGTATAGCATAAATTTATCTACACTATCACCTGGAATTACAATACATTTTTTAGATAACTTATAAATATCAATTTCACAGGATGATGTAAATTGAGAATTTAAAAAACAAATTCCCAGCAAAGAACTACGAATTGGATATCCCTTAACATCAGTACAATTAAGATAAACTTTACAATTTACAACTGGCTTATTATCAACTACAAATATTTTATCTACTTTAACAAAACGACCATCTTCAGTAACAAAGTGATTATCACCATCCTTTATTCTAATACAAAATTTGTCAAGTTCAAACTTTTTAAATTCACCATTCTTCTTTGGCACATTTATTTTATGCTTAGATTTAATTGTAGAATAATGACTTGAGCTACAGTTATCATATTCTTGTACCCGTTTAACAACTTGCTCAAGCTGACGATTGTTGCCCCTAATTAATTTTTTCAAAAACTGTAAATAGCTTTCAAACTCAAAAGCGCTAACATTATCTAATTTTCCAAATTTTAATGCATCATCGGATAGATGTAACAATGAATGCACATTATAAACAATAACAGAACCTCCATAATATCTTTGTAAATCTTTAACAAATAATTCTATTAGCTCTCTTGCCGTATTATTCCAATTAATATTATTTGCGGAAGACGAGAGCAAAATATATATAGCAGTGTGAAATATGAGAAAATGGTTATAAAGATTGCTGGGAAGTATATTGCGTAAAGCTGCGGGGCCTACATATAAAAGAAACTGTCTGAATTCAGTAGCTTTAAATCTTTTTATGTCTTTTAAATCTCTAGGTTTTCTTGAAAATTCGCAAGGAAAAATCTTGGCAATTTTAGAAAAATTTTCTGAGATTATTTTAACTTTTGCTGTTGGAAGTCTAGTTTTTATGGGACCACTCAACCAAAGCAATAGAAGTTTTCTAGTAACACCTAAGCAAACTAAGTGCATATAATCCAAAACAACCTCTGGCACTAAATCAATTTTAGTTTTAAGAAAGGGCGAGTCGCGCAAATGATGGTCGGAATCGATTTGTGAACGGAAGCTTAAGTCGGTACGTTTACTACCAGAAAAAGTCGGAAAAACTATTCTCTTTCCATCCCATTCACCTTCAACATCACATCTCTCACAACTACTCCTACCATTGTGAGGTTTAATTCCTTTAATAAAACTTCTTGCAGGAGCGTCAGCTATTATGCATTTAACACGGACAGAAAAATTTGTTGTCCTCATTAATATTCCACTAGTTTCTAGTTCAGTTAATTCCGTAATAAATTGGTTAAGAAATTCATCCAAGCTACTGGGCTTCCTGTCACCACAAAACAAGCCGGCAATTATTGGTCTAGAATTACTAATCTCATTAATCTTGAATAAAATAGGCCACATATCAGTTCCAGAACTCTTGCAAATTGGAAAACCATCTGTGCCAATCGTTAATGTCAACTCACTAAAAGGAAAATCTGCAGGTATAATTTTTAGAATTTGACTTTTTATCCCGAAATAGAAAAACTTTCCACCTGCAAGAGTTTGGATACAAATATTACGTGGCGTTTTCAACAATGTTTTTGAACATATTGGCAAACTACTCGAATCAAGAAAATGAGGCTTAATAATTTTTAGTAAGTCTGAGAGCGCGGAGTGTGTGACATTGTGCTTAATTGCCCAATCCCTAATTTCATGATCTATAGTAACTTTAGATGATAGGACATTAATATTCTCTACAGTAACTACTCGTCTATCTACACTAATACTTTGCGGTGGATATTGAATGCCTTGTACATTAACAACATAATTTCTATTAATAGTGGTTTCACCTACGCCAATATGTCTAATACTATTGTTAAGCTCTTGAAGTAATGTATTTGCTTCTTCGTTAACCCTCCTCCTCCTCGTCCGGTACGACGACATTCGTTGTTTTTCTGGAAGTTCTGCCACCATCCAAGTCTTTTGCGTTCCCTAACCAGCGTTGAATAATTCCCACAATTTCCGATATTGTCAATTTTTTCCCAAATTCACTGGCTAGGGTGGCTTCTAGTTAAACAGAAATGGCGTGTTAGTGAAACATAAAGCTAAATATCCAATCATACACCCACCATTAATCTATTCAATAAAAGCTTACCGATAACTAGACGATTCAATTTTAAATTGTTAAATGCTGTTTTCCCATTTGTGCCAACGTAATTTATTTTTTCAGCCAAGCCTTTAGTGAGGGTACTTGCTAAAATTCCAGTAACAACTTTCAGTGCTGATTTGCCTCCATTTCTCTTGAAAATTTCTACCTAGAAACGAGTATAAAAATTATTTCCGTCTTGGGATATGAGAATAAAAATTGCCAAATTGGTGTAAATAATAAATATCTATTAATAGCATACGAGCTTCGAGCAATTATCTTTTTCCTTTAGCCAATCCTCCAGAATTAAAACATCAGATTCGTTTTCCAGGGGGAGGTTCACTGGAATAACAACACTATTTTCTACAGATGAATTAGCGTCATCGGTCCGGAGTAGCAGAGTGCGAATATCTTGGCGAATATCTGAGATTCCATTTGCGACCATTCGCTCCAGTGCTAGTAGAAATTATATACAAATTTAAAAGATTTTAAACCATTTGAGAATTCAAAATACATGCGTGATAGAGAAAGTTCTTACCAACTTGACGAAGATAAATATCTTCCAAAGTCACTCCACGAATACGGGTAGCAGCGATTTCTGCATTCCCAGCCTGAGTCCTCACAGGAGGCGGGACATCAACTTGTGAGAGAGGGGGGGATGACCAATAATGATTTCCTGACCCTGCGGCTACTTGATGTTCACTATTTGGACTTGGTAATGTTGGTATTTGTGATGTTGGCGAATTCAACCCAGCTGGATCGTTGACAACGACATGAAGTTGGTATTTACTTCCGTCAAATTCTAGTAAATCTGAAACAAGAAATATGGTAATGTTATGGTATCGGTAGTATTTCTTATACTTTTGAATTTAACAGGCTTGAACTTAGAATTATAATTTACGTACCCTCTTCCCTAATACTTATCGATTTACTTGAGAAACTTTGAGAATGGTTCCTTTCTTCCTCTTCAGATGACGATGACGGTCGTCGCTGTCTTTTTCTTGTAGGTTTCAAACCCCTATCCTTTTCGCCAAGTTCGTCTTCTTCAGCTTCAGTTGTGTCAAGGTCCGATGAAGTGGTGGCCTGTTTTTCCAAATTCTTGGCTTCAAGATAATTATCTGAGTAAAATATAATCTAATTTTATATGATGATGACTTATGTGTGAGTAAAATATTAATAAAATGAGATTCTCAATTATAATGTATTTAAATGGCGAGTGGAATTTATATAAATTAATTAAATAAGCTGATTTTTCTTACTAGTTGATTTAAATATCCGTATATCAAATAAAGGCCAATGGTCACCCGGTTTTTTGACTGCCCGTATATCTGCACTTATATCCTTACAAGGACCTGGTGGCCATTTACATTGACCTTTGTTAGTTGACAGCCAGGATGAGGGAACTACCTGAACACTACTGTCAATTTTAAATTTGACTACTGAAAACATTTCGAGCAAACAAAATTTCGGTCAACTGTATTCCTACTGGTGTGAGGTGGACTGGGAGAGCGCGTCGTATATCGCGCACTTTTTCTCTTTGTGTACAAGTGATGCATATTATTTGGATAAAATGTTAGGGAAGGACCGACTGAATTACAACGTACATAATATGCAGCTTTTATGGAAACAACTTATGAAGGTTTTATTCACCCGATGCTGGTGAATAAAATGTTATTTTAATTTGATGGAAATATTGCAAGAATAAATAATTGAGTATTATGCACATAAAATGTTAATGCTTTCCCTAACCAAAATTTCCCTTAAGAAATATCGAGTTCCCTAACCAAATATGCAAGAAATATGATGTCGGTTCTTCATGGGAATGTTCCATCAGTTTTACTAAGAATTGATAAAGATCTCGATCCTAAATCTTGTAAATAATGGAGATTTAGGGACTTTTCCGGTTGAAAACTTTCCATTGTAGCGTTACATTTAAACCACCCGGTATAAAAATGGTACAATGTTTTTCAAATTCCATAAATTTGTGTACCCACCTTTCGTATCCTTGTCCAGTTTTTAATGATTCCAGCAATATTCCACAGACCTTTCCATGTCACAGCGCAAATCTTTCGAGCTGTTTTATCTATTATATAAGTCTTCTTTTATAGAAAGAGATTAACTCTAAAGCAGAGCTGGGATAATCCTGATTAAGGATATGGATTTTAATCCCGGATTAAGGATTATTAATCCATAATCCCTAATCCGACAATGAGAGTTTTTGTAGATTAATCCCAATCCATAATCCAGATTTTTCTGGAATTTGAATTAATCTGGGAATAATCCCATTAGATGTCATTAATCCGTAATCGTGATTACGGATTACTAATCCTGATTAATCCCAATCATGACTACTAATCATGATTACTAATCATGATTAGATATTCATGATTAATTCTCAATCTGGATTACTCAGTTCAATTCCCGTAGTTCTATTTCATCCCACTGTGTAGCTTGAAGTCTCAAGTTCTCACAACTTTGTCCTGTCAGCTACCATTTGAAGAGTCAACATGTTCTCGCTGCTTTGTGCTACATATATCAATTGAAACTGGCGTTTTAAATATTTTTATGTGAAACCACATGGTTTAAATTTTTTCCGCTAGATATACCTGTAGGTAGTGTAAAAATCATTAATCACCAAAATAATCCGGATTATTAATTCATAATCCATAATCCTGAAATTTCCAGAATTTATGGATTAATCCGGATTAATCCTGACATGAATTAATCTGACGAAAATAATTTAATCACAATCCACATTATCTTGTGGTTAATCCATAATCCTTAATCCACCCTCAAAAACGAAAAATCACCCAGCTCTGCTCTAAAGTGAGGGTACAATAATAAAATGAAATCTACATGGGGGTAAAAAATCCTTAGAATTTTTTGAGAAAATTGAGATTTTTTACCCATACATTAAAATATATGAATACGTGTCTGCAATTGTATTGTGTTTTTCTGAACCCTGGTGTCAAGGTTTCAAATGGCAGGGCTATCTAATTTGATCACATTTTTAATTAATTAGGACTTGGTAATTAGAAGGAGAGCATTTTCTCTAATTAATTGGAAATTAGTAATTTGCTTGTACTCACTACTTAAGCTAATTAGCTAACTAATTAATTGGTAATTTTTATTGATTTTCTACTTAATTAGTAATTAGAATTAGCCTAGGTAGTCTAAATTTAAATTAATTTATATGATTAATAATTAGTTCATATATCGTAAGCTAATAAATTAGAAAGACTTGACAACGAATAGTAAAATTGTACTCAAACGAAACCCTGAAGCACATGAATTATTTTACTTGAATTAAATTCGAATTTTGAATACAGTATACATTTATTTTTAACATCCCCTCATTCCCGTGGTGAAAGGTCAACATAGAAAATTTCGAAACGTTCAATGTCCGTCAAGTTTCTGTGGCTCTCCAACCCGCCAAAAAAGTAAATTTTGCTCAACGAAGGGACATGCACCATGGCCGGTGCGACTAAATACGACCCAGTTTCACTAACCAACGGAAGCTTCATGACGGGAATAAATTCGACTTCGTAAGTAACTGGATCAAACCGATAAATGCCGTCAGCTCGCTTTTCTTCCCACAGGGAATGCCCTCCCATCACGTAAATATATCTGCCGTCGTACACACTCTATGCGAGAAAAAATTCTGGAAAAGTTGGAACTCCAGTCGCCACAGAGTGAAATGATTCCAGGTCGAATTCTACCACATTAGATCCCTCGAAGATATAAACCTTGCTACCAACACATGATGCAGTACCACCAAATACCTAGAAGAAATAAATAGGTTTCAATATTTCATTTGGCAAAACTTAATTTTTTACGTAATTTAAGCATTCCTCGCATAATTATCTCCTTAATTAATTTTCGTGACTATTATAAACAACGTAGTATCAAATCAAATCAAATCATAATCAAGTATCTATATTATAAGCTGGAAATGTTTGTCTGCAACGGAAGTGAAAGTAATTTTCCGAAAAGGAAGTGAAAGTAGAGAAAGTGCAGTTTCGAACGGCGCGAAAATTAAATATAAATTAAATTTAAAAAAATAAATGTCTGGTGGCAATTATCTTGGGGGTGGTGGTCTGATGGTGGTTATCCAATTTCCGTTGCAGACAGACATTCAAGGTGCTTATCGCCCGGCAGGAGACGGGCTTACACGCTAGTAGTATCAAATACCGATATTGGAAGAGTTGCCACGTGGCTGCTAGCACCGGATAATAAATCCACCCCAACCATTTGATATCCATAGGATGGTCCAAATATGTAGGCAACGCTACTTGACTCATTATGAGAAGCCGTTGGTGTATATAGAATACTGTTAGGGAGCTCAGTAACCAATGTGCTCAGTTTCGTTACAGTGTCAAACTTGAAAATCTCGTGCTCTGAGAAATAGTATATTGCCTTTGCCATCACCCCGTACAGGAATTTTTTCAACTTTCCCCATTAATTCAGCAAAGAATACAATTGTTCCTGTGGAAATGGTGAACAGCAGGACATCGCTCTCGCCTCGTAGCCGGCAGCCATCAAAGAGGTAGATGCTATCATACCCATCGTAGTAGGGTAACTTGCAGGCGCCAAAACCTGGCAGTTTGCTATTCAAGTAGACAGCGGTTAGGGTATGTGCGCTGGATGCGTTCAGGGACACGAGCAAAATCAAGATTCCAATGGAATAAATATTGGCCAACATTGCAAATCACGGGGATGATGGATTTACTTTTACTTTTTGATAGGCAAGGGATTCATGCGATACTAAATAAATTGTGCAAATTAATTATTTTTATATAATCCCTTAGAGGAAAATGTCAACCAAATTTGTCACTCATTACGCAAGATGAACAATAGCTCAAATAATATTTTTTCACAAACGAGGAAAGTAAATAAAATAATTAATGTGTAAAATCCAATTCAATTTAGATAATACAGCGATAAGAAGACGATGTCAAACCTGGTGGGTAAATGATTCTGCAACGATCAGTGTTGCGTGCAGCCACCTGCAGGATTTGGGTGCAAGAAGTGGTTCTTGTTATCAATAGGTAACGAAAGGGGCACAAAGTCACTGTCCGCTTATAGACCGCATCGCTAGATTGCCTATATTTCTGTCTTGCTATTTTATTGCCCTGTAATGCAAGAAAAGTGATAAACCTGCAAGAAACGAACCACTGGTTATGACAGGCCTCGTAGTGCGCAATATTGTTGATGATGCATGTATAGTTTTAATCAGTTAATCGTATGATAAATTTAGTTTGGTGACTAAGACCCCTCTTATCAGCGTCATCTCGATTTTTCTCAAATTTCCGACACAAGACAAAACCCATATATCAAACAATGACCTATCTGTGGGAGCTCCTTCAAGAGTCTGGAGCAGCGCAGGGTTCCGGGTAGGAATTACTGAGTAATAATAATTGTCGAAAATAATTGACGATATTTACAAGAAATAACGTCTGTACTTAAAAAAACATTTGCTTGCAGTCCTTTCTGGCACTTGTATTTTTTTAAATTTGTATATGCCAACGTGCTCATCTAAAATTTTCACATACATAAAATTTTTCAGTTCCTGTAACCCTGGTGGCTCGTTTGGTGGAATAACTTGTGATAAGTGACCAGATAAGAATAAATGGTTCGACACTGAACCAGAATGTGTGGGCACGGGTTCAATTCTTTTTCAACTTATGTATCAATCAATTATTTATTAATTGGTTATAAGTTGCAAATCAAATTCCCATTATTCACTCGTTATTCCTCGTGCTGGTTTATGTATCTTTCATGCACACTTGTCGAGAGGGTAGGTAAATATGCAGCAAGTAAAGTTGTAAGTATTTTTTTTTAAATATCACAAACTCAATTATGCTTTACCCAGGCAATTAATCCGCATCCTGGTAACCTTGCATAAATCCTGTGCATAATTCTGCATCGAAATATATATGCATGCACTTCCTTTGCATAAAGTGATGCCCTAGTTCTCTTCCGCTACGGGGACGTTCGTAAACTTCATAACGCAAATTTTTAACATGTGTCACATAGGCACGATATCATTGCATGATGTACATTTGTAACTATGCATTTGGATGGAATTAATCAAAATTATGTTTTGCACTCGGATCAATTATAAAAAAATATGCACAACTAAAAATATCTAAAAATAAGTAAGCACGTACATATATACCTATGTTGATATTTACACTCTTAACGGTTAAGCCTATGTAGGTATTATTATTCAATTCGTAAATATGTCCTTACATAGTCGGACCATAAGTTCTCGCAAATGTATTTCCGGTGTTAAATCACAAAGTATTAGAGCTATTTGTTAGAAATTTTTATAAATGAACAAGGTATTAATACTGTTCAAAAATCATAACTTCGTATTCAAGATTTCGTCCACGAGCTTGTACACAAGACATAAAATTTATGTACCGTAAAAACTCAAATAGTAGCCGTGCTCAAATAGTAGCCGGGTCTACTTTCATGATTTTGTAAATAGTGACCGTGCTCAAATAGTAGCCCTGCCCAAATAGTAGCCTTATTCGAATAGACGCATCTCTATTTCAATACAACCACACTTCTTGACAATTCATTAAGATAATTAAATAATAATTCAATATAATCACAATTACGCACTATAGAAACGATGAGTTGATGACAAAACACGAATTTATCTCATCCAAAAAATCATTGAAGAGCAGTTCGAGCAGAATAATATTCCAATGAACTATGGCTCTAAAGGCAAAATTGGTGTTGTTATTAAAATTTAATTTGAGTTTGATTCAGGAAATAAAAATCATAGTCGTATGCAAATAGTAGCCGTGTCTCTCATCATAATTTTATAAATAGTGACCTTGCCCAAATAGTAGCCTTGCCCAAATAGTAGCCTTGCTCAAATAGTAGCCGGGCCCTAGCCACCGATTTAATAAATAGTAGCCCCCGGCTACTATTTGAGTTTTTACGGTAATTCGTGACGGCCACTGTTCGATCACGGCACGCACCGTATATGATACCAACATCACCGAGCTGGATAGAAAACTTGGTCAAGATGGTGAATATATTAAACGCCGAAAATAATGTATGATGTATAATATACATGATAACTTACATATATATACATTGCATATAGGTTATCATGATATCTGTCTGTCATTAAAAATTGGAACAAGTACCACCCCCACATTTTTTTGTGGGTAAGTTAAGTATCTATACTTGCTGAAAAAAGTAAAAACCAAAATGCATACATATTTATTTATATTAACATATCCCTGTGGAGTCGGACACATGTGATATGAAATTGAGCAGGACTGGATGGACATAAATATGTAAAGTGTTTCTTAATGCAAAAACCCTTTTTACCAGATTATAACTTATACATACTTAATGTGTGAGAAAGGGTTAAATTTTGTTTCCGTCACTGGAGAAATCGGATTCTTGGAATTTGTATCTATAAATGTTACATACTCATAACAACAACAAGTTGTTGTTGTCAACAACCCTAAAAATATGCAGTACCGGCCACTCTAGATTAAAAAATGCTGCCCGATGATATGTATCATCATCACTGTGACTGGTAAAACCCTTGCAAGGTTTAGTGGACCCTTGGCGTTCCCTTCCTTTGGTTAATTTTCCATCCAGAATTTCAGTCCTTTCGGGCAACCCATATTTTTCCTTGGCTTTTCAAAAATAAATCCATCGAAATTATAAATGTCACCCCCACCAGAAAGATGCGTAAGTATTTACATATTAAGGCATTTCACGTCAGCTTTCGTAATTCCGTAACCACGTAAAGTAACGAGGATAAGTTTGCGAATAAAAAACGTGACATTTATTTTCGTAAGGTTTTGTAACTTCGTGAGCAAAAATTACCTTCGAGTTTTTTCGAATTTGCGGCAAAAGTTTGCACGAAGTTTGCGTAAATTGACGTGGTTACGAAGGCTGACGTTAATTCTTTCAGTCATTAGTTGAAAATTTGCCAGGATTTCAAAAAAATATTATTTCCAGGACACTCTTCCTACTCTGCGCCAAATGTCGCAAGAAGCATGGGACATCGTGTCGACAAGGTTGCGCGACGACCACATGACACGACGGCTAAGTACATATCTTTTTTTCTTAATTGACGAGTTAAATCTAATCCATGGATAAAAATTTAGGAGACGTTTTCGAAACGTATTACCTCGACTTTACCGTTAAAGAAGCGTCACTCATGGCGAAGCGATATTATTACGCGATCCTCCGAGTGTCAGAGGCGGGAGAGGACTGTAAGTTTTTGAAAATTTGTGAAATTGAAATTTCATATTATGAAATTTCAATTTAAAATCGAAATTGTATATATACATGCACATATTTTACTTTAAGTAAACCCCTGGTTTGAAGAGTTTGATGTGATGGGTAAGTCTACAAACGCCATATTTCTAAATTTCTAAATTTAAAAAATAACATTTTTAAAATTTAAAAATTCAAAAAACATAATTTTTTTCAAAAATTGCAAAAATTCATCACATTTAAATATAAATATGGGAAGAATATTTGCGAAGACTAGATTTTCGCGGTGGCGGCGGCGGTAGCGCGTACAATCGGCCGCGTTGACCTCACTTCATCCACGATTGACCTCTAACTAAACTAATTTTCTGCAGATGAGAACCGTTTGGAGGCGAAAAAGGTAGCTCGATTGAAACGCGTCGTGGACATTTTAAGGACCGCGCTGACCAAAAAAATCAGCGAAATTGCTGTACAAGACTTGGAAGACGCTTTCGAACCAGAGGTCAAAGAGCGCATCAAGAAACTCCCATTGTCACGAAGAAAAGCGTTCTACTACGCAAAAATCTACGTCAAAAACCTCCACAATTGCACACCAATTGAAGAGTCTCTGTACCGGGTGTAAAATAAAATATTGAGGGTATTCATTATTCCTCGGTATCGTAAAATAGCTTACCAAGAAAAAACAAGGGGACAGCCCTCGTAAGAATCGTAACCTTATTTTTAACCGAAAAATCTTACTCTGCTTACAAAAACTCGTAACTTATTTTACGATACGAATAAATAATGAATACCCTCAATAAACAATTGGACATACTTACGTATTATTGCCTTTATTTTGAAAAATTGTATGGGGCCGTCCATAAATTACGTAACGCAAGAGGGGGGGAGGGGGGGTCATTGGAAGAGCGTTACGAATTGTTATGTAGGGGGAGGGGGGTATAACAAATTTGTTACGTAACGCATTTCATAAACACGATTAAAAATTGGATTGAACTAATGTCATCCAGAAGGTTTCAGTGTACGCATGTAAATAAGCGTTTTTCATTATGGTGCGCAAATTAAAAGAAGAGTACAATGCTTGCCTACTTGTAAACCATCATTCCTCCACAGTGACCTTGGAGGGTAAGTTCCACGATTAATTGAGCCTTACATTTAAGATGCGAATTTGATCGGAATTTGTCGATCACCTGAGCCCCAACGAGGTCACTGGGAGGCATGATGGTTGTCAAGAATTGTACTCTTCCTTTAATGGTGGCGGTGGCACCATAATTTTCCGAGTGCAACTTGACTTGACAAAAGGTTCAATTGTGAGTCTTAGTAAAAGTTGAGAGACCTGTAAGATTTACAATTTCCATTTCTTGTCGAATATGAATAAGGTTGTTCTTGAACAAGAAATTCACAAAATTCTGATTTATCTAGCAATTTAAAATAAATAGAAGCAATGAAAGCGACACTTGTTTACACAACCTGGAACAATTGAAAATTTTGCAAGTGACTGTTAAAGAAATTACCTGCGGTGAAATCAAATTTACGTTACGTTACGAAGGGGGAGGGGGGGTTTAAAAAATGACGATTTTTGCGTTACGTAATTTATGGACGGCCCCTATGAAAAACGGCTAATTTTTAACTAAATTATTTCATGGATAACAAATTCTATGGTAAGTTTATGACTTAAATGAATTATTTATTAGTATCCACACTTTTTTCTGCGGTTTGTAACTTTTAGTCCGAAATTATAAATTCGATAAATCTTTAATAAATTATAAACATTTTTCATAAAATTTACTTAAAACGGGGTAATTTTTAAACAATGAGCGTCAGCCTTCGCATATTTTACAGTCGAGGTAACAAGACTTGTGTAAACAGGATATTCATGACTCGTTCGTATCCCTGGTACATATTTTTCGCATCGTAAAATAAGTTACGCGAGTTAAGAAATTTTGTAAAGGAAGTAAGATTTTCTCGGGAAAAACACCGTTACTAAGGTTACGATTATTACAAATGATTGGATCATATGCAATTTTAGTGGAAAAACGAGGAAAAGTTTGACCCCTTCTTATTGCTTCGTGAGCTATTTTACGATACTAAAGGACACGAATAAATAAATGAATACCCTAAACATTTCATGCATCAAATAAATTGGTATTATTTAATAGTTAATCTCAATCATGTTTTTAACAAAGTATAGAATAACCTACGCAAGCCAATGAAAACATTTAAAATTTGTTAGAGTAATAAATAATAAGCGTAAATCTCTTCTGGAAACAATATGTTTGCTATTTTTGTTAATTAAATGAGTCCAATTTTATACTTAACTACAAATAAACTATAATTTTAACGCGAGCGTAGTTTATCGTCTTCACTTTCATTCTCCCGTTAACGAGCTTGTGGTCGAAATATCGCTGTTTTAAGCTCTTCTCTCAAATCCTCGTGCGTTCTTAAGTGCCGGATAAGCGGCCCCGTTCCGCCCATGAAGTAAGAATTGCTGCGAGTAAAAATTGTTCTTTTTTGTGACATCCTGTTTCATAATTAGTTAATTAATTTACGTAATTAAATATTTTTCATACCCGCATCGCTTACAAACGTATTTCTGTAGAGTCTCGTCTAAGTCGTAATAGGTGTAGACTTTTGACCACTTCCTGCCTGGAATTTACATAAATAAATCAGTAGTGGCATCGTCGTCGTAATTGATGTCAAATTCAAATTGGGGGTCAATCGATATAAATTTAGGTTAAAATTTACCAAATTGACTCTTTCTCGGCAGCATATCTTCTTGTCGGGCCCCCCGGCCCTTTTCTGCCTTCCGGGCAGCTACTGTAGCAGCTCTTTTTTCCTATGGGTTAACGATAAGGTGAGGTCAAGGTCAACTTTTTGGTGCTCAAATGGAACGTAAACGAAAATTGTCTACCTTTGTCCCCTGTCCCAGCTGATCCTCAGTTGCAGGTACGGACTTCCTGGCAATTTGGTTTTTGAAACGTTTCCCTTCAGGGGGTTTGTCAGGGCGGGTAATTTTCTCGACGAAGAGACCATCATCCGTAGAAGTGGATTCGTTCGCAATTTGAAGACTTAACTTTTCTTCGTGGTCGTCGTCACCGTCTTGTTCTTCTTCGTCGTCATTGTCGTCATTCCCGTTTCTCGCTCTGAAAGTTAACGTTTCTGTGGCACGTGGCGACTTCCTATCGGTGACTTTAGCCCGTTTTCTTTCAGGGTGCTTGATAAGTTTTCCGGAATTATCTTCATCCATAAAATTGTCTGCTATTCAAAGAGAAATTTTAGAAAAATTGGGAAATTTCAACATTGCCCTTGCAAGAATTTTTTGGACGCTTACCTTTAAAGGGTGGGACTATCAGATTCCCAATATTTTTCATTACGCCCCCGCTTTTTCCCTCGGGAGATGGATTGGCTTTCCTCTTCCGTCTATTGATGGTGAGGGGAATTAGGAAAGTATCGGCCTGGGGAGGTGAAGAATTATTGACACTTTCGGCGCCATAATTGTCGTCGTTGGCGATTCGTTCTTCTTGTCCGTACAGGGCCGTAGAGTGTTCTTTGTAATAATTATGGTCATTGTGAGGTGAATTGGTGACAAGTGCGACACTTTCGACGTCATGACCGATTTCTTCTTCTTGTCCGTACACGGCTGAAGAGTCGTCCTCCGCCCGCTCGTCGTTGTTACCGTTGTCGTACTGATAACTCCCGCTGTACGATTGGTAAAATGAGGCAGGGATGTTGTCCTCATCGTCACCTTCACCTTGGTGATTAGAATAGTTGTCGTCATCGAATGCCGGGACATTGACGTCGTCAGGCTCTAGTTCGTACACACTTGTGACGACGGGCAAGCTGTCCTGTCCCCAATCGTCAATTTCGTCCTGGTCACCTTGTTCTCTTTGATCATTGAAATCCTCTCGTTCCTCGAAGGAAGGTTTGCCGTCTTCTCCCCAGTGGACGGAGACTCCTTCGTCGCCAATTTCGACATGGTCGTCATCGTCGTCGACTTGCTCTCCTTCATCTTTGATGTCATCGTCTTGCTCCTCATTCCTTTCGACGAGTTCGTCACGATACTGGAGCGATCCATCGGTGTGGAGGAAGATTATGTCCGCATTGGGGCTAGAAGCTTTCAAGGTTCGAAATTGACTAAAATCTAGACCTGTGTATTAAAAAGATGGGAAAATTTACGTTTAAATTCGAAAAATTCATTTAGTTTGACACATTAGAATTCATAATTTGACAGCTTTTGGGGTAAATTAATTTTTTAAAGTGATAAACAATTAATTTTAAAACTTTTACCAAATTTTAGTTCGATATATTCCTTGAGAAGGTCGAGTTGCTGCCCGAGCTGGTTGATTTGGTGGATGAAGGCTGGCTCCATGTTAACCTCTTCATCGGTAGGTACCTTCTAAATGGTAGGAATTGCAAAGGCAAGGAGCCGATAAGTAATTAAATTGACAAATTGACAATTTTTTTCTAGAGAGAGTAAATTGCAATTTACAAGTGAACGAAGAGTATGAAAAATGCGCTGTTGCTTGGTTGATAGTGAGATTTGAGATGATGACTGAAACAGATTTTTTTTTAGATTACCGTAAATGTAATGTACTATTGCTCATGCACAATGAGAAAACTGAATTTTTTGTCATTTTCTGGTAACTTGGTATGCAAAATTTTGGAATTTGGCCAAAAGTCTTAAAATACAGGAAAAAACAGAAATATGATCGAGAATAGGAATATGTGATATGTCCCGAAACCCGAAGATATGAGAAAATATGCTTCGACCAATGTGACCTTGTGACCTACCCAGTGATCGCGAACATTCTCAGAAAGTTTGAGGGGTGTAGGTCAATACATGGAAAAAATCTTATTGCATTCATATCCGACGTATGTTTATGGGTGACTATTTAGATTTTTGTACTACTTTTGTGTTAACAAAACAACTAGACAACCAGTTCAAGTTTTTCTCACAAAAGATGACCACCAAGATGTTCAAGTGTCCTTAAAAACAAGGGGATTGCATAAACAATGTCAGCAATTTTATGTATAACGGGTCGAATTCATGCTATAGTTTCTGCATTAATTAGAAGATAGATAAATAAGTGGTTCCGGGGTCATTAACATGCATTAAAAACCAGCCACATTTCTTGTGCATAGCCCCAAATAGAAAATCTCCCCCTTTTGTTGACCAACTTGCACATTTAATCCACGGCACGTTTCACCTCCTTGAAAAAGACGTATTTGTACACGTACGTACAGTCCTGGGCAAAACGAAGTGAAGCGATATCTTTGTCTCTGAATTGTCAGTGGCGTAAATTTGCGACCAATTAGGGCGACCCGAATTCAAATAATATGTAAAATAGTCTAGCAGAATTAATATTGGGGGTCACCTCATTTGCATAAATCTCACTATGCCCATTTATCAGCGATACGGACTTTCCATATTGAACAAACTCTGTGTCTCGTTAATGAGTCAAAATATGCAAATGAGGTGACACGCAACAATAATTCTACAGTAAGTTTGTATAATGTTCTAAAACAATTGAATTTCTGATATGAAAATCACGAAGAGAATTCGCTGCTACACATTTAAAAATATTAAGACACTTAACCACACAAAATTATGAATTAAATCGAAATTCTATAGTAATTAACGTCATGCTAACCAGTTTCATGGTCATGCTCAAGTATATAATTGCAATTATTTCTAACAAATAACTACCCAACTATTTTTCGCAACCATATCTTAAACATGTTTTTAATAATTTAATAAATATGTAATTTTATATAATTAATGTCATACAGAAAGTTGTTGAGGGCCACTTTCTCCCCATTTATCCCACTGCGCCCGTGTTTATCCGTAACCTTGAACTTTTTTGTGACAATATGGAATATGGATCATACATAGGTGCTCTGCTTTTGTAATAAATAGCTTGCTAAATTTTTGAAACGAGGACAGTCGCTTATCCTCCTAACCTATCGACACTTACATATTTTTTATCCGATCCACAATTAATTATTGCTCGAGATGGATACAAACTCGAGTACTTACTACGTCTTCGACCAAGACATTCCCATGCCCCCCATCGTTTGGCACGACTTGCTCGTCGGCCTCGTAGTTTTGGCAGGGTTTTGCATTTTATTCCTTATCTCCGCCGTAGTTTCGTTCTTCTATATGATGAACAAGCTAAGAATCACGTAAGAAGTGGGAGATTTATTCACTTTAAATAATCCAGTATTAAAATAATACCAAGCGGTATTCAATTCATATAGGACTGTACCAAAGTAATATCCTGTAGAATTAGCTTGGTATAAAAGTTTTACCAAGTCGGTAGCTAATTTTGATACCAGGCGGTAGCAATTTTAAAACTGAGAAATCAATACCTGCCTGACTACATATGCAAAATTTCTAAGTGTTGTAAATTTAATTTTTGCAAAAATGCATATAATGCTATATACTCATTTTTTTACAAATTTATTACAGTACAGAAAACATTCGTCGTGCCGATGAGGAAGACCGAATGGCTGGATGGCCCGTGGGGGGAGGAGGGGATGATCATGAGTCTGCCCTGCAAGCATTGGTCCGGGCGTCGAATGTAATTTTAGACAATCATGTACATTTTGCATTATATATTTATTACAGATATGATATCGTCTTATGAGAATAATTGTTGGAAAATTTCCATTTTTTTCAGGTTGTCGTACTCGACATGGGTGGGGATGGGGGTAATGTGGCACCACCCCCGTACACTTCTGGGGAGAGGAGGAATGGTCGTTCCCACGAAACCACAGTTTGAAGGAATCTGGTCACGTTTCCATATTTCCAGGGGTGCGGGTGCTTTTAAGGGAAAAAGAAGAATTTAACCAACATGTCTGGAAATATTGTGTCGGTCCTGTACGTAATTCAGTGTGAGAAAAGTTTCCCATTCAAGTTTCCCAAAAGTTTCCCAAACAAGATTTTCAAGTCTTCGTTCATAAGAATTTTGAAGCAAAATTTAAGTTTGCCCATTTTTAGCCGACGAGAAAAATAATTTGGCAAACGTATGTACTTATTAACCAAATATTAACCTTATTTACTACCTTATTTATAGCCTTATTTATTAACGTTGAGGGTATTCACATGCCATTGTCTTGGTACCCTCAGTATCGTAAAATAGTTAAGGAAAAAACAAGGGATCAAGCTTCGTGAAATCGTAACCTTAGCAGAGCGATTGCTGACAGCAAAATTTTACACTTCTTAAAAAATCTCATAACCCATGTAACTCATTTCACGATACGAAGAATACTAAGGACACGAAGGAATCATGAATACCCTGATTGTACGTATTTTCATTACCCACTTTCCACTTGTTTAACTTTATTTATAGTCAAGTTTGTGACTAATCGTTACCACGTGTACATACATTTGTGCTCGTACCGAATTACTACGGTCATTCATTATTTACATTATGTACTGATACATGCATTAACAATTTTTCTCCTCAATGCATACATACATACATTTTCATAGGTGATGAATTATTATGTTTGATATGTACAATTTGTGTTATATAAATCTGTACTTATCTTATAACTCATATGTAGATTAGAACGTACATACATACATATGTAAACCTATCCAAGTTTGCATACCAAAATTGCAGAATATTTAGCACTTTACGCTAACAAATGTATGCAAAAATTTACATACTTATCCACATAAATACGTGCTTCTATGTACATACATACATACATACATACATACATACAGTCAATGGAAAAAGTATTGGCAACCCCCACGCCAGCTAAATAAAATTGGCTATAACCATGGAATGCATCATACAATTGGCATGAAAATTCGTACCCATTTAGCAAATATAATGTAGTTTTCGATTATAATCATGATTTATTAATTAAAATTAGATAAACACAGTTTTTAAATAATTTGTTGGAAAATTTGCAAAATTTACCCGCAAAAAGTATTGGCAACCCTTAACTTAAAAAATCATAAATCAAAGAAACGCCAATTTTATTATGACAAACTGCTTCTAGTATTACGTAGCACCTCCCCTCGACGCAATACGAGCACAAATACGCCGTGGAATTGATTCAACAAGTTTCTTTACAACGCTTTTCTATATGGCTGCCCACACTTCCTTCGAACTTTTGACAAGCTCGTTTTTCGAAGAGTGGTTTCCCACCAGTCCCTCTTTTCTCAATCCGGACAATCAGAATCACATCGGGAGACTGCAATCAACGAAAGAAGCTTAACCTTTTCGATCTCCAAAACCTTGCATCGTTAAATTGGCTACATGTTTGGGGTCACTGAATTTTCGGAATATAAAATTCCTTCATAGGTCAGATTTTTATCAAATAATTTCAAATTATCGTTTAGAATGATTATTTGGACCTCATTGGTCATGATTCCATCGATAATGACCAGCTACCTACGCCACGACCTAGTCATTTAACCCCAAACCATAATCGCTCCTCTTCTGTGTTTAGCTGTCATAGGAACATATTCGTTTTTCTGAGCCTATTATGGCATCCGCCAGACTTGAACCATTCAATTGGCTCCGAATAAGTAAAATATGCTTATGTCAGACCAGCAGAACCTTTTTCATTCATTGGAAGTCTATTCAGGGTGGTATTTAGTCCATTCGAATTTATTGAGTTGGTTCGTTTTGGGGACCCTCGCGTCGGTCGGGCTTCTGGACCCTGAAACCCTATAGCATGATTTTTGATTGATCACAATATTGCATGATATGTTGACGCCACAGTTGGTTCTCAAATTCAACATGGTTTTGGGAGCTGAAATCTTCCGATCTCTAGTGATAATTTGCTTGATTCATCAGTGGCTCGTGGGCGTAGGTGACTTTTTTCTTCCGCACCATGGAAAAGTAGAAACTGAGATTGTCATTTTATATTTCTTGGCTACGTTTTCAATAGTAAATATGGAGAAGTATGTTTTCTCTTTGAATTTTCGATAAGAAAGCTTTTTTGTGAAAGAGACATGATTATTTCTCGCGGCGCCAATACAGCTCGTTTGGTGTCGCCATTTTGCCTCCAGACAACATAACTGTAGACTTAAAATGTAGCTAACGTCATATTTCCTCACCAAATTAACTTACCGTAATGAAATGTGGTAGCTGATTAAGAAAATTGTTTTGCGTAATTAATTTGGCCACATGTTGCCAATACTTTTTGCGGGTAAATTTTGCAAATTTTCCAACAAATTATTTAAAAACTGTGTTGATCTAATTTTAATCAATAAAACATGACTATAATCGAAAACTACATTATATTTGCTAAAGGCCTACAAATTTTCATGCCAATTGTATAATGCATTCCAACGTTACAGCCAATTTTATTTAGCTGGCGTGGGGGTTGCCAATACTTTTTCCATTGACTGTACATACATACATACATACATATGTACACACACAATAATATATGTACATACATTCCTAAATATGTTATTGCTCTTTTATTTGCGACTAATAATTTTAATACAATAGCGTAACCAACATATGTACATATGTATGTACATA